GTTTCTTGAACCTCCCCTCGTCCGTGGTCGTGCTGTAGATTTTGGCACGAGGAAGAGTGAGGAGGGTGTAAGAATCATATCTCCCTGTATAGGGAGCCTTGTCTTTCTTCGGCTCAGGTGTTGAGGACAGTTCTGAGGCTTTCACCTTCCCTTTCCTTGGCCCTTGGCCTTCGGACAATTATCCTTTTGCTTTTCCAGCCACAGATTGGGACTGGGATTTTGTCTTGTTCCATTCTTCAGCTCGGATATATTTATCCAAGGCGTCCAAAGCTTCCTTTAAGGTCTACGGGGGATGCATGACCATGAAGTCAAGGAACCTTCCAGCTTGCAAGACATTTCGCAATGAGAAAACGGCTAGCCCTTGGTCCAGACTTGTAATTCTGGACGACTCGTTGCTGAAACGAGTCAAATAGTCTCGGAGGCTTTCGTCCTCCCCTTGCTGCAGACCCATCAGCTCTGCAGTCGTTTTCTCTCGGCGGTTTCCCGTAGAAAACTTGCTCTTGAATTTGTTGGAAAGATCTTTCTAACTGGTTATAGACCCTTCTTTCACCCCCTTGGTGATCCAACCTTGAGCCACCCCCTTGAGAGTGGTTGGGAAGTACTTACACCAGGTTGCTTCGGACCTGGGGTTAATGTACATGTGCCCCTCGTAAGAGGCAATGTGGTCCTTCGGGTCAGAAGTACCGTCGTAAGTGATATATGCCGGGATTTTCACCGTCGACACATGCTCTTCCAATATCCAGCTTTGGAAGGGTGAACTTGTTGGGACCATTACGGCCTTCCCTTTACGTCTAGCCGTTGGGACCTCGCTTCTCTCTCTTAGAGAGGTGGAAGTGGTTTTCGTCCTCAGCTGAAACAATTCAGGGTAGGGCTCGGTTCCCTCTGGGTAAGTGAGGCGACTATGCACGCTCACCTCCCTTGAGCCTAGACGTTCATGGACGTTTAGGCGAGCAGGTTCTCGCCATGCAGAGGTGGAGTTGCTGCTCTTGTAGCTCTTGGAGTCCCGGGTTCTGGAATCGTCAAAGAATTGAGGGTTCCTTTTCCGTTCCCGCTCGGTCCTCCTCGCGCTCGTCCCCTAGCTCCTTAAAGGAAGGAGTCCGTCCACTAACCTCTTGGCCAATCCTCCTTCTAAGGTTTCTTGGCGGAAGAGGTGAGTGATCACGAGGTGGTGGAAAGTTGTCTGCTTGAGCCTTCATGAAATCCATGAAGACCGCGACAGCCCTCGCCATTTCCTCCGTAGAGGGGCCCCGTTTGGGGGGTTGTTCTCGGTTGAGAATGACAATGTAAGCTTTGTGGAGGAGGACTTTTCGCAGTTGATTGATTCGGCCGAGACGAGCTTGTCGACTGGGAAATGTGCTGCGATGGAGACTTCTCCAATGCTGCCCTTTCCGGGGAAGAGGGAGCTTTTGAAGAAGAAGAAGGTTCTGATGATGGTGGACTGGGTGGATTTACTCTCACCGTAATTAGCTCTCACCTCGAAGAGGAAGAGTTGTTTTTCTTAGCACTCTTGGCGTTTTTATCGCTCTTAGTCATGCTTGTGCTAAGATTGGTTGGAAGTTTTTTTTTGGCTTAATTTTGTGTATCTTCCCCACAAACGGCGCCAAATTGTTTCAGTATGAAATCAATAGGACCTTCAGCAGGCCCTTTTCAAGGGAGAAGACTGATCTCGGACCAATTGATGAATGGGTCGAGGATTTCCTGCACAACAAAACACACGTAAACTAGCCTCGCGGGTGGTTGCCGAGGAAGGTCCCTCCGATGCTAAAGTCAGTTTAGTGTGTAGAGGGAATAAGCTATGCAAGAGAATTAATTGCTTGAGGCTTAATGTGAATGAATGTAAGAGGAGACAATTGATGGCTTTTATACCTTTGCTCAATAGAGGAGGATTGGGCCCTTGAAGTCAGATGGGCTTGCCATCCAGACTGGACTTGGCTGACTTAGCATGCTTAGGAGAGTTGAGCCTTGCTTTTGGGCTTTTGTAATTAAATCATTTGGACCGCCCAATTAGGTTGACTGAATTGAACCCAAACATTATCTAATTAGGATTATTACTTTGAATGGAATATTAATTGCTTAAAGCCTAAAACATATGGATTTAATCATAGTAATTGGTCGTTCTTTCAAAAATAAAATAATATCTCATAATAACGGGCAAAAATATCTTCCTTTTGTTTTATTTGTAGACGTGGACCAATTTATAATATTCTCTAATTAGGATTATTACACCAAAAAAAAAAAAAAAAGGGAGGTTAATATGGAGCAATAATTATAGATATATTAAGGAATCATTACATATACATCAGATTGTCAGAAAGATGTCATCTATAACTTGGATATAAATTAAATCCTTAATGCCAATAGACAATGTGGATTAATTCACAAATAGGAGAGAAAATTTAAAGGTTCGTTGTTTCGGATTTGCTAGTCCAAAAACAAAGCCCAAATCGGTTGAAATTTGAGCATGCATTGTTGTAAAATTCCTAGCAATGCAAGAAGCAGATGATGACAAGGAGACACTATTTTTCTTCCCCCTATCCAAATTCATTGTTGCTAATCTAATGCATCATTTAACAGTGTAGAGAATTAAAAAAAAAAGAAAAAGAAAAAAAAAAGTAGCAGTGAAAAAAAAGGAAAGAATATTATTGTGACCTATGTTTTTGTGAATTAACATGGTAAGACCTATGTTTTTTGCACAATTTAAAAATTAAAGGACTTAAGTTTTGCTCCGATGGGTTAGGGTCAAGCTAGTTGGCCGGCTTGTTAACCACAAGTCCCAAAAAGTGAAAAAAAAACTACGAGGTCCCAAAAGGTGAAAAATATAAAAACTTAACCCCAATGTTATACTTAACTCTTTTTATTTAGTTGACACCTTTTTTTTTATCACGTTTGTCAATACACCATTTTAACAATTAATATCTCAAATTCTCGACATTGTAAAATTATAAAAAGTGGATATTTATAATTAAAATATAAATTAAGACGATTCAAACAAGATCCAACTTGACTATGTTTTATCGTAGCTATAAATCACAAAACCTAGTTTAAATGTAGTTTGTGAATAGTGTAAAAGTCAAATAGTAAAAAGCTAAACGATGCCCTCATTTTACGAGGTAACACCCAGTGGCAGATCCAGGGGGGTACACAGAGGTACAGTTGTACCCCTATTCCGGAGAAAGGAAAAAAAAAACTGATGATAAAAGAGACCGCCTGTTTCTAATAGGTGGTCTCTTAGTTACTGTTATGAAGTTAGCCAAGGCAACGAATCAGTCCGTCGTTTTTGTATTATATTCAAAGAGACCGCCTATTTAAAAAAACCGGTCACTTAGCCTCTTAGGTGATACTTTTAATTTTTCCATGTAAGATTAGTATTTTTCGATCAAAGAGACCTGTTGTGACAAATAACAGGTCTTTTAGATAATCTCTTCTTTAGCCCACCCAGACATTTAAGTGCTCAATTATAAGACTTATTGTCGGAGGATGGGTTGTATATATCGTACACGCAAATACTAATACAAAGTAAAATGAATTATGATTCATTAACTCAAAATTTAGTTAAAAATTTATTGCAATTCACATGCTATTATTTTGTAAATTCTTTTTTATCAACTTCATTTCGTACCCCCATTCCCTAAATCCTGGATCCGCTAACTGGTAACACCTACATTTAAACATTGAACGAACATACCATCACATGTATTCCATGTTTTTCTTCCCCCTAATGCAATCTAACATTCTCGTTTATCAACAAACCACCACCGACCACCACTGATCGAGGGCAAGGTCATCACCGGAGTTAAAGTAATGTAATTTTTTAAGGAAAAAAAAAATTGGATGGAGGCCAAATGCTTTTTTTTTTTTTTTTTTTTTTTTAGAAATTTCAGGGGAGGAACACCTGGAATTTTCTCTGTCCTCCCCCAAACACCACCACTGCTCCACCAATACTCCATCCCCACCACCACTGCACCACTCCGGCACCCCGCACCCCCTTCTCCCCATCCCCACCACCAGATCCGCCCCTTCCCCTTCTCGACCACCGTTGCCAACCCCCATCACCAGGCCGAAACTTCCACATACCCCACCACCAGCCCGAACTCTCCACCCCACCCTTCACCAGCCCTTGAAACCCCCACCCCGCCCTTCCATGAGCCCTATTACCCTCACCCCCACCCCTCCACGAGCCCCAAAACCTACCCCATCCTCTCCATTACTGAAACCCCTTCAAACAAGGTTGGGGTGGGGGACATGTAAGTCGTCCGGTTAGGGTGGGGATTGGGGTAAGTCGTCCGGTTAGGGTGGGGATTGGGGAGAGTAGGGTCGGGGTCGGGTGGTCTAAGGTTGGGGATGTGCGAGAAGCCAGGCTGGGGGGTGGGGGAGGTGGGATGACCACCGTGGCTGGCAAGGGAGAGAACTAAGAGGTTTCTTTTTATAAAAATACATTGTTTATTTAGAAAAAAAAAATCAAAATTTAATATACAGACCAATTACATGACGATACATTTCACAGGAAGCCGGTCAATTTAATATTTAATAATCAGAGATATTGTTAATTATTGATATTGAGCATAATAAATGTTTCAATTAAAGAAATAGAAAATGTGCTGTATATAATTATGATTTATCAATAACCATGCTTTGAAATTCCATTTAAAAGTACGTGTCCAAGCTAGCGGCACACACTAAATTAGGCTAATTAGTAGGAAAAGGACATCTAGCGGCGCATTAAAAAATGTTATTGCGGTGCTAAAAAGCACCGTTAGTATTTATATCGACGCTTAGCAAAGCGCTTTCTTTGCTCGTGACGCTAACCCCTCTTACGGCGCATTTTTTTTTGCGTCGGTATAACAAAATGTTAGCGTCGCTAATACCTAACTACGCTTTTAAAGCGCCTCTATAAATGTGAGACAAATTGTCAGCGTGAGTACCTATTAAGGCACACTAATACCGTCCCATTATTGTCAGCGTGAGATAATTTAATTCAATCCAAGATCGATTACTCGAATGAAGAGAGATCGGATGTGAGAGATCGCAGTTGGAGAGGAGGCTTGCTGCTTGATTGAGAAGTTGAGATGAATTAATCAGTCCCATTATTGTACTTAGACGGGATCTCTTGGAATCGGGAGAGAAACTTTGACCACTTGAGCTATTCCTCACTGTCATAATTTCTTAATATTACCATAGCATAAAAGTCCGGAATCAAGCTAAACTTCATCTAATGAGAAAGTTGGATTACATATTTCAACCTTGATATTATAAGTTCAATCCTCATTAGGAATACTTTAAGGGTGAAAATCCCTTATCCTCCCTCCTCACTTTTAAATTATCTAACCCGTATACTTCCTCCGTTCTTTTAATATCGCATCAATTGTCTTTTAGGGAAGTTTCACAAATATTGCATCACTTCCATTTTAGGACAAAAAATATCTATGTTCACACTGCAAATACCCAACATACCCTTACTTTTTTCACACTTACTTTTTATTTTATCTTTACATTATATGGACAATTTTGTATTTTCACATTTCTCTCTCTTCTTTTTTCCCACTACCAAATTTTGCCTCCAAAATCCCTATAATACAATAAAAAAAAGAAGAGAGGAAGTATATTGGAACAAAAAATCCGTGTTCATCTCTTTACCTATAAAAAAGTGTTAAAAATCCAAAAGTTTTGACATTCACTATAAATTAAACATAATATACGCCATTCTTCATCTACATTCTACACCTGTCATCTATGGCACCTTCACATTCTAACCCCATTTTACTTTTCATTTTTATCATCCAATTATTCCATTTCATTTCAACTCACCCGCTTAATTCTCTTTCCCCTTACGAAATCAACCAAGTTCGTGCCACAATTTTGAAAAATTACCCTCTACACACTCACACCTTATCCATTCACTACGTGGGCTTAGATGATCCACCCAAGCCCACGACTGAATCATGGATCACAACTACATCCAAGAGTCCAAACCCAAATCCAAATCCAACACGAACCGCTTACATGGTGGTTCGTATTAACAAGACCACCCATGAAATTACCATGGACATAACAAACCCGCTAAAAAGCACTCCCAAAATTTTAACCGATGACATTTACCATGGTAATGGATATCCAATTTTGACGGTCCAAGAGCAAGAAGTAGCAAGCAACGTAGCACAAACGTACGCTCCATTCGTGGCATCCGTTGCCAAAAGAGGGCTTAACATACAAGAACTTGTATGCTTATGTTTTACTGTAGGGTGGTGCGGAGAAAAAAAGAAACAAGGGAGAATAGTTAAGATTATGTGTTATAGTATGAAAGGTACCGTAAATTTTTACATGAGACCGATTGAGGGATTATTCGTGATCGTTGATTTGGATGATATGAAGGTGATAGATTTCAAAGATAGAGAAATTGTACCATTGCCAAAATCAGAAGGGACTGATTATAGGGATACCATGCTTCCTAGTTCGTCGTATGGTCGTATACCAACAAAAGGTGTGACAATGATACAACCACATGGGCCAAGTTTTGATATTGATGGTCACATTGTGAGGTAACGTAGTCCATGCAATAATGCTCTTGTTTTACTTCTATAATTATTGCACTTATTTTCAAATGTGTGATTGTTATGTTTGTTATATAGTGATTTTGTGAGGTTTATCTTCAATTAAAAAGCAATTGTGCATATGCTGATATGTATACCCTTTTGTGGTTGAGGGTGTTCAATTGGTGGCCAATGAGAGTGAGCTGAATCGACTAATTTTTTTTTTTTTTTTTTTTCCGTTTTTAATTCTTCCATACACATTTACTTAAAATATTATTCCAATTATTTTTTAATATAAAAAAGTTAGACACTGGACAAGATACTATCATTACCGTCTAGATATCTTTTAGACGGAGTACGTATTATTGAATTTTGCCCAAAAAGTAATAATAAAATTGATTCATATAATTGATATTAAATAAATTACTTTAAAACATCACTTTAATTTATTATTATTTTTTTCAAATACTTCTAATATTTTGTTTCTTAGACTAATGGAGTATTAGATATGACTATAAAATAGATGTTGGGTTCGACAATTCATATGTCTAATTTTAGGAAAATGTGAAATATTAATCAATTTTTTGTTATTACGTAATTAAACAAATTAATATATCAGTATATACCAGAAGAAATTATTACCTTTTGCTGATACATTTTATTGAGATAATAAATTTATAACATTCAAAATTATAAATAAGGTGCATAGTAAAAGACACGTTGGACGTAGTGACAAGCTAAGTGACATTGTGTATCATTTTTTTTTGATAAATAGTTATCATCTACAAATAAATTTTCATGGCAATAAACAAACAATGATCAAACTACAATTATTGGATAGCTTCAAACACATTTTTATATAAGCTTCAAACACATTTTTATATAATAAGAATGAGTGACGATATCATGTAGAGCATCAATTCATAAACATAAAATATACTATTAATTAATAATATAGGTTAGTGTTGCCTAATTGTGGATTACTATTGCCTTTAATGATCCGAATATTATTTATTTCCATTGAAATATTTTATTGGATATAAATTAAAGTGATATATTATTTATAAATATATATTTACATATATGTTGTGCTAATAGTTATACCGTAGATTTTATTAAAAGGCATTTATAAATAAGTCTTTAGTCATATAGTCACTAGATTGTATAGTTTTATTGGGAATAATATGCATCATTAATGTAACATAATGTATACTACTTTTAAATATTTTCAACAAACAAAACAACAATAACTTTTTTTTTTTCTCAATTGTAGTTTTGATAATTTTTGCCTTATTATTTTTTTTTTATATGCATTACATTTGTTTATTCCACATGAGTTGCCTCATTTTTTATATTATATCACAATTAATTATGGAAAAAAGATTATTACTACCGTGTATCGCACGGGCACTATTCTAGTTAATAATCTAATATCTGACATTAAATAAAAATGTCAGATATTATATTATTAATATCAGATATTGGATTAGAGTATTAATGTTAGATATATTGGAATCACCGTGAATCCGACTCACCCAATTTATTTCGTTTAATGATATTTAGTAAAAAATAATTTCAGTTAAGCAAAAATAAGTTCAATTCAGTAAAAAAAAACAATTCAGTTTAGCAAAAATAAGTTCATTTGAATAAAAATGTTCATTTCAATAAAAATCAGTAACTCAAAGTCTCAAAGAGGAAATATAATAGAGAATCAGTACAAATAATTTCAGTTCATCAAATACAATTTCAGTTTAGTAAAAATAATTCAATTCAACAAAAATAAGGTGAAATAAACATAGCCTAATGTCAGATCTAATTGGAAACATGTAAATCCATTTTGGAATGTTGAAACCTAGAATTGGAATCTTATTGTAAAATTGATTTAACTTAGTAATGGGTTTTTGACTTTTTCAGCCCATCTTGTGTGTGGCTGGCCACATCGTGTGGATACTTATAAAAGAACAAAGTAACCCCTATAATACTAACCAAGTAACCTATGTAATACTGACCGACATGAAACCCCTATAACACTAATTGAGTAACCCTATAACATTGACGAATTAACCCTTTTAATACTGACTAAGTAACTCGTATTACATTGACGAAGTAACCCTATAATGGTTGGTCACACGATTGAGTGTAACTTTTTAAATACTTAGAAATTCGTGTTGTTTTACTGGATATATGCTTCTAATTTTATATTCCGTTTTGAATAATTAAATAAAATTTTATAAAACTATTTATTTGTCTTTAGACAGCTAAATCTCACTGTTTTTTTAACGTTACTTTTTTAACATGTGCAAAATTGTCAAAATACAAATAAGAATTTTTTTGAGAAGAAAATGATTGTTTACAATAGCAACCTTTACTCTATTTGGACTCTTGTGACATTTATTATTTTAATAATTTCAAATATGGATTGTCCGGTTGTTCGGAGGTATTAATGCAGCATCGCTGCATACCCTGAAATCCTGCATTAGTGCATTAACATGATATTAATATTACAATCTTCAAAAATTGAATGAGACGTACACTCGAGTAAATGTACACTTTGTTATATTCGTAAGCAGTCTAAGCACCAATCCTTATTCCTTATCAATTGCTCCCACGTTTTTACTACGAAGTACGGAGTATAAAGTATAATAGTAAGTCTGAACTCTTCATTTTAATTTTATGACCCTTAAATAAATGCTTAAGAAAAAAGGTGATATATATTGTAAAGGGAGAAATGAAAAAGGTGAAATATTATAAAAAAAAAACAAAAAACAAAAAAAATAAAGAAAGAAATGTTTAAGTGGAATAGTTTTTTTTTTTTTTTTAATTTTATTTATTTAATTTTATTAACGTTTTTTTCGTGAAATACCCCTGATTTTTCACTTTATTCACCATATACCCATCAAAAATTTCAATTTCACCATTTACCCATAAGTTTCACGAAAATGTCATCACACGCCCTTCTTGTTAACTCCGTTAGTCATTAAGGGTTGATTGTGCCATATGTCATCTCTAATTGACTCTTATTTAAATTATTTAATTAATTAAAAATACTTATAAAAAAATTATTTTTTTAAAAAAAAACCCCACCACCCCTTAGCCCAACCACCTCCCCACAACCGCCACCTAGCCCAACCTCCCCGCCGCCGGTGTCTAGACCACCCTCCTCACCACGTTGACCCTCCTCCCACCTCGCGCTAGCGCCGTCCTTTCCCCAGCCCTGCGCAAGTGCCCGCCCCTTCCCCTAAACCACCATACCCTATCCCTCCCCGTCTTTCCACTTTAGTTAAAAATCAGGCCACCATCCCAAACCCCTTCGTCGGCAGCCAGACCCCCTCCCCCACGTCGCTGTCGCCCACTCTAGCCCAAAAATACCACCCCGAAACGCTAAAACTCAAAATTGAATCCCTAGATTTTGATTTTAGGGGTTTATAAATTTAATTTTTTATTTTAGGGTTTTGGCGTGCTGGTTCGAGGGGGAAAGGGGAAAAGATGGTAGGGGGAGGAGCGAATTGGGTTTGCCGGCACAAGGAGGGGGGTTTGGACGCCGGCGGTGGGGAGGGGAGGGTTTTTTGTGGGAGGGAGGGGCTTTTTTGGATAGGGGAGTGTGGTTCAAGGGAAGAAAAGGGGCGCCGGCGTGTGGGGGGTTTGGGGTGGCGCCGACGCAGGGGTTCGTTCAAGGAAAAATCCACGTTGGCGAGGGGTGGAGGGATAAGGTGGTGGCTGGGGCTGGGCTGTGGTGGGTTTTATTTATTTATTTTTTGACAATTAATTAAATCATTATTTTAAAATTTAAATAATTTAAAAGAAAGTCAATTATATGCTGTCACGTGACATCATTTACCTTAATGACTGACGGAGTTAACGATCGTCAATCATTTGGGCATTTGGTGACATTTTTGTTAAACTCAATGGTATATGGTGAATTTTAAATTTTTCATGGGTATATAGTGAATAAACAAATTACTCAGTGGTATATAGTGAAAGAACCGTTTCATTAATTAAAATATGTAAAAAGAACTATCCTATCGGACTGAAACCTCTCACATGTCAGCCCGACCAAGATTGCGAGCTAGAAAGTTGAGGAGAAGGGTAAGGGAAACCCTATTCCCTACTCTTAATTAAAGTGCCTCTAATAGGGATTGAATCCTCAATCTCATGGTTGGAAGTTTCAGAGTAAAGTGATGTATATAACACAAACTTTTAAATAAAACAACTGTATAAAATATATTTTACATCAATTTTTTTTTTTACTCATATAAAATCAGTTTTTTTTTTTACTCATATAAAATCAATTTTTTTTTTAATGATTTATAAGGTTACTTTTGTCAACTTGAGTTTGAATCCTCAAACTCAAATGTCTGAATTGATCAAAACAAAACATTATTTACATTTTAAAAAGTTTGTCAGAAAAAACCTCTTACAAGCATCATTTTGCAAAAAAAAAACCTTTTAAAAGCTTTTTGGTTAAAAAAAACCACCACTTTTATTTTTTTGCGAGAGGACACCTATTTCATTCCTTAATTACCCTCTAATTAACTTAATTAGACTCTAATTTTCTCCCTTTTTTTTTCTAATTAACCTCTAACCCACCAAGTTACTAAATAACTAGGTTAGGGCCCGTGCTGGTAGGCGTGTCGCGTACCTATCAAAAATAACCTAACAGACCAATACTAATGTAGACTGGCAAGTAAGGGTCGGATCCCAAGAGACTAAGGTTCAAAAATAATTAAATAGACTCAAATTTCTACTAAGCAAGAATCAATTATAATCAATTATCTACGGAACTAAGTATGAGAAGAATTCGAAAATAAACTAAATAAGATGATTAAATCAAGTACTTAAAATATCAAGATCCAGTTTCACCACAATTATTATCGGTGCAATTGTAATTCTACCCTTAACATACGATTTCAATTGAACGGGGAAAAGTAAACCCTAATAAATACCAAGGACCTCTCTCGAGTATCAATGGCTTCTCTAACATACAATCAAGCCTATTCTCATGGTATCAT